TGAAATGTCTGTGAAGCTGATGGGGAAAGGCCTACCCTGCATCTGGGCAACCCAGATGGCTAAAACTAGAAGAGGATATCAGCCAACAGGTGCAAGCTCTACTGTTTCTGAGTGAGTGTGTCTGGTCTACTGCCATCACTAGGGACATCAGACTCCAGTTTCTTCAGCCTTTCATTGCAGACTCAAAGCAGCACATCTCCTGACAGTCCTAGGCCTTTAGCTTCATGCTGAGCTGCATCACTGGATCCTGTATTTGGATGCTTCCAGCTTCTTGGACTAAGTAGCTATCCAGGTTCTTTGCTTCACCTTGCATACTGTCCAGTTGTGTGAGCCAATACAGTAAATCCCCTGTGGTGGTTTGAATGTGAATGGCTCCTATAGACTATTTGAATTAGTCTCCAATTGGTAGAACTGTTTAGGAAGAACAGGTGTGGCTTTGGAATGGGTGTCTCACTGGGGACAGGCTTTGAAGTACCTACAGACCCATGCCATTCCTAGTTTGTTTCTTTGCCTTATGGTTGGACATCAAGATGTGAGCTCCAAGTTATTCCTTTGCTCCACTAGCCCCTGTCTTGTATCCTTGATTCTAAAGCCAGAACCACATGGCTGAAGCAGCCAAGTCCTGCTTGCTGGGGCTGGACCATGGCCCTCTCTAAGAATTATATCTTCATAAGCTTTCTGTTGTTGATCATTTCCTTCAGGGCTTAATCTTTTCTTTAATTTCTTTTCAGAAGTTGGAAGCTTAGCTGGGTGGGGTCTTGCCCTGAGGTCACTGTTCTCTTTATTCCATTTAGCATCAGGCTTTTCTTTAAACATTTTACCTCTTTGAGCACTGGACTGATTACACTTCCTGGTCATCCTTTTCTCCTCAAACTGTATATTTTATATTTTTCCTTGCTCAGCTTGCTCCTTGTCATTATGAATCTGTGTAAGAGACCATTAGTAACCACATGACAGAGTCAATACTAAGCTATCTTGAAATCTCCTCTGCCAACACCATTAACCCAAAAGTTTTCAATTTTTAGGACAAAGGAGAAAAGCAGCCACTTCTTGGCCAAAATATCAGAAGAACAGTCGGTAAGACACTTACTAATATTCTCATCTGAAACCCCTTGAGCTAGGTCATCATAATCTATATTGCTCTCAGCGCCACTGTCTTCCACTGTCTCCTACTAGTATGGCCCATTAAGCCCTGCTTAAAGTTTTAAACTGATTTCCTAATCCAGAGTCCCAAAGTCCACATTCTACCAACAAGCAGCATGGTCAAACCTGTCACAGCAATACCCCACTCCTGTTACCAACTTTAGTTTTAGCCAATGTATTTCTGTGAAGAGACACTATGACCACTGTAACTCATATAAAAGAAAGAATTTACTTGGGGCATGCTTACAGTTTCAGAGGTTTAGTCCATTGTCACCTTGGTAGGGAGCATGGTTCTAGAGAAGTAGCTGAGAGTTCTACATCTGGTGTCTTCAGGCAACAGGAAGATACAGACACTGGGACTGGCTTGGGCTTTTGAAACCTCAAAGTCCACCCTCAGCAACATACTTCCTCCAACAAGGCCACACCTATTCCACTAAGACCACACTTCCTAATCCCTTTCAAGTAGTGCCACTTCCTGCTGACCAGGCATTCAAATATATGAGTGTATTGGGGGGTCATCCTTATTCAAATCACTACAATATGATTCTCAGAAAACTCTTTTTTTAATTTTTTACTATTTTCACTTTCTAAATGTTTTTTAATTTATTGTTATAATTTAGAAACACCTCATTGAACCTTTGTGTAGTGTCCTCTAAGTTTTTGTCTCATTTTTGTTGAAACATACTTAGGAAGTATTGGACTATGATTCTACAAGATCACTTGAAATAAACCCACTTGGGCATTTTTGGTTGTGTAATTATGACTAGAGATGTACAAGTCTAAGAACCATTTTCACATTCTGACTGCACACACACATATCCTCAACTTTCTTTATTCAGAATGCACAAAAGGAGTTGGTTCCTTCAGTAAGAACAGCTCCTGTCTCCCCCCCCCCCATCATCTAGTGTGATGGTAACTTACAGACTAACAAAGAAGCCCTGAAGAAAGATGGAGTAACTCAGTCTTGGTGTGGGGTTAGGTGAAGGAATGCTCTTGCTTTGCTAAAGGCCAGGTAGATGCACAAGTTCAGGCTAAACTGTGTTGCTATGCTAGGGATCCTGGAGTGCTCAGAGGCCCAGTCTAGCTGTGTGCAGACTGTCTGCTTAAGGCAGAGGAGATGGCTTGGACTCCATGCCCACTCTTGTGCATGCTCAGTATATCCTTTCTCTCTAGAGCAGAGTGCAGCTTCTACCTAACAGCACCAAAACTGACTTACCCAGGAGCCTTCTGCCTCTCAAACCTACTTTGGCTAAGTGTTTGTTACTTATTCTGTTTGATGCTTTCCCTTAGGATCAATCACACAATCTTCCTATTCTAACCCGATAACCCTGTAGGACCTATCAGGTCCATCTGTAGAGCTGGGCAACATCATCCTCTCGCCATTCTACTCCCAAGTGCAGTGGCTTAAAAGGTGAGTGCAATGGGAAAGTGAATAAATGCTCTGGAACTCTCTGATAAAATAATGAAGAAATGTGGGCTACAACTCCAGGAAGGCTTGAGACCAAAGGAGGATCATTTATGGTTTTTAAATACATTTACTATTTTTTCTTTATGAGTGTTCTATCTTCATGTATGACTTTATGACAGAGGTGGTATGGAATTCCACTATGGATGGTTGTGAGCCACCATGTGGTTACGGGGAATTGAACTCAGGACCTCTGGGAGAGCAGCTGGTGCTCTTAACCTCTGAGCTGTCTCTCCAGCCTACCCTTATGATTTTTGTGCTGGACTTCCTGAATTGAAAATCAACAACCAGACTGAAAATCTGACAGCCATCCTGAATCCTCCCTCCAATCTGTCATTCTTTTTCATCTCCCAACCAGCACCTTGAGTCCCAGATGACAGCTTCACTCCTAGGTCATTTGCTTCAAGCCACAGCCACACACTCACACACACACACACACACACACACACACACACACACACACACACACACACACACACCCAACTTGCTGAAGTGCCTTTTCCAAAATGCAGACCAGATCTTGCCAAGCTCTACAGTCATTCCTGTCACTCTCAGGAAATTGTTCATATCCTTAGCACACCCTTAAGTTTGGGTCCCTGCTCTCTCTTCATCACTGTCTGCAGTCACCACATTTGCTCGCTTCCATGTCTCACTTTCATGTCTGTGAGTGCACCATTCCCTATGGAGAACTCCATCTTATCCACTCTGCCTCTGCCATGACTCCTCTCCTAAAGGACTGGGCTAAGTGTCACTTACCACAGAAAGACTTCCTTGACTCTCTCCAAACCAGGTAAGTGTGTCTTGTATTATATGATGATGACGTTTAATAGACACACTTCAAATGGTTTATCAGTTAGAGAGCTTGGTCTGTGTCCCTGTAGCTACTACACAGTCAATGCCCACTGTTCCTAGAAAAGGTCCATAGTGAGAGATGACTGAAGCCTTGGTGGGAGGTGCCTGCTTTTCAGGATTTGGGTGAGACAAAAAAATGCATGCTTTCTTGGGTTCAAGTGAAAGCTCAGAGGGTACCTGTGTTGGGGACATTCATATTCCAGTCTCAACCTGAGGATTGCTCAGCAGAGACAGACGACAAGTTAGAAAATCTCCAGGGGCTTAATTGACAGAATGAGTGGATGAGGCTGGTCTATAAAGATTAGGTAGATACACAGGTAAGAAGGGGCTTCTGAGAGGGACTGAAGGGCCAGTGAGGAACAAGTGAACAGACCAAAGTATGTCTGACATGAAAGTGGGAAGAACTATTTTGCCAGAGGAACCCCTTCCTCAGAAAGAGGGGTGATGGGAAGCCAGGAGGAGGGTAAATAAGAATGAAATATAATGATATATATGCATGGGAATCTCATAATGAAACCCACTACTTTGTGTGCGGACTATAATTTTTTAACAAAAGTTAAAAGGTCTTATGGTAGAGGTGGGTAGGTGGTGCAGAACCAGCCTCCCGAACTCTATGCTAGCAAAGCAACTGTTTCCAGAGGACTGGACATAGAGTCAAGTTCCTTCTTTGGCTTCCTGGCTGTGTCATAAAGTGTTTGGAGTTTTTTTTTTTTTTTTTTTTTTTTTAAAGACATTAGCATCCATATCACATCCTCAAGGGCTGTCAATGAGACAATAGGTTTTGACTAAGCCCCACAATGAGTCCAAGGTCTGGCTAGGGAAGAAACATTCCAAGTCTATTTCAGGATTTGCTGCATGCTAGGATCCACCTGGATTAGGACCCACCTCAGTATTGGGATGTGCCAAGGTGCCAAAGCTACAGTTCAGATGGAAACTAACGTGGTGGATTCTTGGACTGCACAAACCCGGCTTTGCAGTGTGACCTCACATAGTCCCCCAAGGCTGCTTACACCTGTTCTCTGGCTTGCTGTACAGAAAGCTGGTGAGTCCTGCAGTGCTGGGGGCCGGTGCAGGCTGCGTTGGGGACTGCGGTGCTGGTGCCGCAAGCAGGGAGAGAGAGGGGCAGCTGGAGTCGAGCGCGTCACAGGAGGGAAGAGACGCTGCACAGCCCTATAGGCGGAGGCGCGCTGGCCGCTGCGGGAGCAGAGGTATAAAAGTGCTGCGAGAATCGGGCGAGCGCCACCGAGGGCTGGGGTGACAGAGGCGGGGGGCAGTCCGCACGATCCCGAGTCTCTCTGCGTTCCGGAGTTCCCTCTGCAGTCCCGACTCCCCGCGGATCTCGGTTGCCTCTCCAGTAGGGACCCGGCGTGGTCCAGGTTCCTCAAAGGTTGGGGCTTCCTCTGTGCCCTGCGCTCCTCGCCCCTCCTTCCTTCTTCCTTGCGGACCCCTGTAGCCGGTGCGCTGAGCTCCCGGCGCCCAGCCTTCACGCACTGAGCCCAGAGGGGAGTCTGGCCCTTGTGCCCAGAGCCACAGTGGCTGGGCATGATGGTCCCTCCTGCCCTGCTGCTCTTTCTCCTGTCCTCGGTGCGAGGCACTGAGCAGCCGCAGGTCGGCACTGAGCATCCCAGCATGGAGGCATCCCTGACCGGGCCCAATGCCTCACACTTCTGGACCAACTACACTTTCTCCGACTGGCAGAACTTCGTGGGCAGGAGACGCTACGGGGCCGAGTCTCAGAACCCCACGGTGAAAGCCCTGCTCATCGTGGCCTACTCTTTCATCATCGTCTTCTCGCTCTTTGGCAATGTTCTAGTCTGTCATGTCATCTTCAAGAACAGGCGCATGCATTCTGCCACCAGCCTCTTCATCGTCAACCTGGCAGTTGCAGACATCATGATCACGTTGCTCAACACACCATTCACTTTGGTAAGGATAGACCCTCATGCGCTCCCTCGCTTTTCCTGAGGCATGGGTCTCTTCTCTCTCCCCTCTCTCCTCCCGTCGTTCTGTCTCTTTCGGGTCCTCACCACTTCCAGGCTCTTCACTCTCCTCCTTCTACCTCCTATCCTCTGTCACCTCAGCCTTAGTTTTGTCCTCATATCTTAATTTTGAGTCTCTTTTCTCTCCTGTCACTCACCAATATTCCCTCCACCTCTGTCTCCCCTTCTCTCTCCGCCCCCCTTCCTTTCCATGGAGTTTCTGCAGCTGGTAGCACTGATTCAATGAGTCAAGTGTTTGCAGTTGGCTTTAAAGGATTGACCATTTGCCGCTAACCTCCTTGGTCACAGGCATTCGGAATGAGCACAGTAAACCAGGTCCCTGCGATGATAGCAGAGGTTATTCAGTCACTTCTTGTCCTTCAAGTCAGCCTGTGAAAAGCCTGTCTCCCACCTGTCAGGTGTCACTTGGAGGGTCACCTGAAGCTGCAACTGTTTGTTGTTGATGAAGCCTGAAGCATCTTTCTTGATGCTGGTGGGTTAAGCCGTGTTCCCTCAGTGGCTCGACAGGGAGGCCCCATGGGAGGCTTATCCTGGGAGGGAATAGCATGGAAGGTGGCCTGGAGCCTGGGGCCTGGGACATTTGCACAGGGTAAGCGATCGGCTTCCTCTCTGAGCCTCCACTCTTTGGCATTACTGGTGCTGCTTCTGTCCCTTAGTGACCAGGGAGCTCATAGACTGTTTGAAACAGTGAGGGTGTGGCTAAGCAATCCCAGTGACAGACAGCTCATCTCTAAAGCAGAGTTCCATCCTTTTCAACATTTGGAATACCTTGTTATTAGAGTTATTAGAGTTATTAGCCAAGCAGAATATCTGTCTGTCTATCTAATATCTCATACGCAAATGACAGACAACAAAAAGATAGATGGATCCTTGCAAGCCCACAGCCCATGTGATGTCCTTCCAAATTTTCCATCTTCAAAGCATTCTCGTTCTCTTCTACTCTTCCTTATGAGAGCATATTCACATAATATAAGGAAACCAAGGCACAAAAGCCCACAAAACCCAAGGCTACCTGCAGAGCCAGGAGAACTGTGTGCCCTTTCACTAAAGTCCACTAGTGGGAGTGGGACTCTTGACTCATGTTCTGTTTCCACTGTCCCAATTTCCTTCTGCCTATACTAACCAATCAGTGGCCACTCAGGGTCCTCTAGCCACTGTCTAAGGACATAAGGGCTTCCAATAATGGTGTTGTGCCCTGGGCCATAGAAAAGCTGCTTCTTGGCTCTCTGTGGCTTCTCCCTTGGCTTCTCATAAGAGAAAGCATGAGCTGGGGGGTTGGGGGGGTCTTGGATGAGAGCTGCAAGGGTCCAAGGCTTTGTTGTTGTTGTTCAGAGGCAGGCTGCAGGGTCAGATATACATAGACATGAAGGGACAAAGAAGCAGTGACAACTGAAAGCTGGATGCCCCAGGGACCTCCTGTGAGAAGGGACTCTCTGCCTTTCCTTCAAGACAAACTAGAGCAGCCTGGCTTTGAACCTGACCCATGGAACCTCCCCAGTCCAAGCTCCTTTGGAGCCCCCAGGGTGTTGCCATGTGCACACAGGTGGTGAGAACTGGGAGAGGGGATCTTCAAATCCCTCTGCCTTCTCAGCGCAGCCTTCCTACTGGGGTAAGGCATCACCTTTGGCTACTTGGTGACAGTCACCTCCTCCTGGGCCCCTCTTCCCAGCCACTGTTCCCACTGCAGTCAGCATGAAGACTGGCTCTGATCATTGAGACAATAATAAACATTGATGGCTCCCATGACAGAGACATGCAGACAGTGTAGTGGGGCCCGGAGGAGGCAGGTCTTCATTCTGACTCACCAGAGGGTCAAAGGAGACTTTGCAGAGGATGTGACATTTCAACAGCTTTGCAAGAGCCAGGTCTCCTGGGTTGAGATGAATGACCAGTACACACAGTACAGAGGGAGCAAGCTGAGCACAAGAAAGGGGCCATTGGAGCTCACCTTGTGTTGAGAGAACACTGAGTGGCTGGGTGAAGGGGAGGAGCAGAAACAAAAGACAAACAAGAGCTGAGCTGGGTCAGAAAGAGTGACTGGGCCAGGTGTGTCCATCCTGGGACCTCTTGAAGCATCGGTGTCTGCCTGGGTGAGCCTCACATGTGTGGGAGCAAGATCAAAAGGGTGGTGGCCTGTCAGAAGTTTAGGTTTGCTCACTTGCTGATCATGGGTGGGAGGCAGAGGGGCTGAAGATGTCCTGCTTGTAGCCTCAATGGCTCTCCCCAGTCCTGGATCTTCTGTTTCCCTGAGGAGATGTAGCCAAACTTGACCCAACTTTCCTGTACACATGCTATGCAAACACCCCACTCCTCATTTCCCAACAGACCCTGATCCAAAGTCAATGGCCTTTGTCCTGGTCTCCATGTTTGTGAGTACTTGCTCACCTTAAAGGCCCCCTATGTAGTCACAATGGCAGTTTAGTGGCTAAGGTATTTGCTAAGTAGGGCATGTTGTACACATTCTTCTTTTTTTCTTTCAGATTTTTTAATTTGAATTAGAAACAAGGTTGTTTTACATGACAATCCCAGT